TTCAATAACCTCCCTTATCTACCTATTAAGAGCAGACACATTATAATCGGCAAACCTACTCGCTTAAGACTATTATATCTCATTTCCAGTCTCTGACATGTGTTCTGTCACTGCTGACTGTTGGACACAGCTACCTTTGCAAGCATTTTTGTGTTACCCTAATCTGTGTCGAATAGGCCAACATGTCTCACTTCAGGAGCACACAAGCCGAATCTCGATAATGAGTCATATTTCGCTCTAAAAGATGGAAAGTGTGAGAGTTTCTTTAAACACTGTTTTTATCCCCGCTTTCTTACTAGTTCGTCTATCTTCTTAGTAGAAAGGTAAAACGGCAAGATTAGGATGCTAAAAAAAGGTATCAGCTTATCTAGCTTTGACTAAATAGTCACTGTCTGAAAACATATTTCTTAGTAAAGAGATTGTATTGTCAATTAGACCAAAAGGATAATTATTTTTCAGAAATAAGTCGTTCAGCCGTTCCAACTCTAGTCAAATGGCTACTATCCTCTAGTTTCATACTCCTAATAATCATAGACTTCAGGATTCAAAACTTACATCTGTAACTATGGCTCGAAATTTTTTTTGGTAGAGCCAATATATTTTGGCTTCCTACAAACGTCTCTTCCCAAATGATGAGAATAGACAAAAGGGGTAAGGACTTATTCTCTCCTATTTTCATTGTGAACCTAATGTTTCCTTCGCGTTGGTTAAGTCGAGGTTAGAAAATATCTAGGCTATCCGTATCACGAGGCCAGATGACAAAACAGTTATCCACATATCTGACCAACAATTGCCTCTTCCAGAAAGTGTTTCTTAATTTTCGTCATAAAATTGTTTGCCAAGATGAGAGCGAACCAAAATCCCATCGCAAGTCCTTGTGTCTGTTCGTAAAACTAAACCGTAAAAGCTAAAATAGGTGCTAATTATGGATAGGTTAAGAAGTCTATGTATGGAAACTATACTCAACCTTATTCCTGACAAGATTGCCTTGGTGGGATTATTTTATCAAAATGAAGAATCACCTCCAGCTCAATACTATTCTTCATCTCCTCAGGTGACCTATCCAATAAGCTAATTTATTCAACCAGTATGTCCAGAGAAGTGTTCACTTCATTTGGAAGAGCAAAATTCTATCTGCATTCCAATAAAAGTTCCACGCTATTCTCCAGAGTTATATTGGATAAATTAATTACCTCGTCCTTCCCAAACTTGTTGAAAACATGGTTACTACGATTTACCTTAGGTACAACATTTTTCGATCTAATACAAATTCTTACATTACCGTGTTTCTTAACATATATTGGTCTAGTCATTCTATCTGTAGCCTCTCCCAAGACGTAGCACAAGGAAATCCGCATACCTCAGGACCTCAGAAAGGGGTTATTAAGCCTGGATTTGGTTTTAATTAGTTTTTATAATCTATTAATGCTTTTCTTGAGCCTTGTTTTGACCAAGCCACATAGCGTGAAACTTTTAGTGGAAAGATAATTGGATTTTGCTCTTCCAAATGAAATAAACTATTCTTCGGACAGTAGTTGAATTAATTGGCTTATCGGTATTGCGTATAGACGTTAGTATGCACACGAGTAAAGATAGCATGACTAGCATTATTATATATATATATATATTTAAGTCTATAAATTTTCGTTTTAGTTATGAATACATATAGGGGGTAGGATAGAGCCGGATAGTCTTCTTGACCTAATGTTAAAGTAGGACTCTTACAAGAATAAGTTCTAGATTTGATAACGTCCATCATGTGATGGATGAAAGCTTAGCTCGGTTTACAAGAAACGAGGGAGGTTATCCGATGCAGTGAGTCAGCTTGAACGTCATATTAAAGCAAAATGGCTGTAGTGAAACAGGAGTCAGCCATAGTCGTCTGGTGAGATCGACCTTCGTACTTCTTTTGTATGCACTTTCACACGAAATGACGGCGCCCCAACAAGTAAAAGCAAGAAAGAAGAAAATAACCCACAACAAAATCAAATAAATTCCCCAAACTTTCCGAAGACTTTTAATGACATAAGTCGTAGCAATGTAAATAAACACGGTGAAATGGTTAAAGTGGGGAGGGATAAAATTTTTTATTTCGAGATTCAGAGATTTCTATGCGAGTATTTAGAAAAAATATATAAAATATAATATGTATATATATATAATATAAAATATATAAGACGAATAGTCTTACCTCGTTGCATTGCATTGACTGATAAAGGCGACCCAAGTTGCCAAAATGCTTAGCTGTCTGGATGTTGTTCAACCCAAAAGTCTAAAAGGCGAAAAAAGAACTAATTTGAAATAAGGAAGCAAAACTCATATAAATATGCATCTGAAAAATTTCAACCCAAATCGATGGGACTTTTGGGAGTCTAGGAGGAGTATCAAGATACATCTTTAAATTGTGAAGCTTTAGGTATTATCACTGAATAAAAATGGATAATTATGCCCTGATATATCAAAGACTGTCTAAGGTTCTTAGAATTCTAAAGAGTGGTTATCCAAGGTAGCCATGAGAATCGGCTTCACAATATCCTTTTGGAGCCAAAAATATCGCCAGCATGAGCTGTGCGATTGCAGTGGACTAAAGGGAGTAGGGCTTAAGGAAAGGAACTAGCGCAGTTCTGATCCATATGCTGATCAATATAGGTGGGAAGTTTAATATAAGATAATAAACTTACTCGTTCGCAGAGATCAAGTGACTGAATATGAAGATCTCGGCTCAGCTCAAGATAGGCTTGCATTCGATCTAAGTCATGGTAGTCTATTGCGATCTCTTCAATTATGAGAGCTAAGGGATAACAAATGGAAAGCAGAGAACTTCATAAATGAATAAAGCAAATCATCTACTTTTTTGACATAAATATATTCTCAAAAAAGAGATCGCTATTTATGAAATTTCATTTAGTATATTCATACGAAAAAGCGATAACCTTCAAGTTTATTTGACGAGTTGTAGTTGGATTCAAAGAATGGTGAAGCTCTGAAGATGCAGGCGAAAAATCTGGGTGTACTAAATCCACAGTCAGACACTGGAAATTATTATGTCTACCAAGGCTGAGGACTCCAGACAAAATGCGCTCATCTAAGTCACTCTGACAATATAACCAAGTTCATAAAGCAAAGTCAAACCACTCCTCAAGTCCAAAAGTTGGCATCAGGCAATTTATTGACATGGTTTAATGTGTACGCCTACAAAAGTTCAAAACAGTTACCCATTAAAAAAAGTTGAGCCTACTCTCAGCAGGATTTTTTATTTAAATTCTGCCAGACAAGGATAACTAGTGTGTCACAAAATCCTAGCTAAATGTGATTTTTTAAAGACTAAACTACCTAAAGGCAACCTACTCATTGACAAGTCAAACAAAATTAGGGTCAATATCTTAATCCAAATTATGGAAGACCTAGAGCAAAATGGTGCAGATTTTTTCATTTGTATTTCGGAATCGTTTTGGAAACTTCTTCTTAAAAGCTGATTATAAGTATGAAGTAAAAAAAGGGTATTATGAAAAAAATTAGTTATTAGTTGAATAATATGATGCACTTGGCTTAGTGTAGAATTTTCTAAGTTGTGAGATTTTCATAATGTGGTTGCCTTAATGCATGTTAATAAGTCCTATTTTAGATAAACCAACCAATCTTTAAAATAAATAAAAATGAATGGATAAACAAAGTGTAGAAAAAAAGTTTAATAAAGGAATAACTCTTTCAAATAAATTAAGTGTAAAATTTAATATAGCAAAAGCTAAGTTGATATAATAAAGTACATCCTTGTTAGCATATTGCAAGGCAGTGAGTGTAAATATAAAATTCTCCAAAAATACACATACTTATAATAAAAATGAGTTTAGTATACCTTGCGTTGAAATGTCTGCTAAGATAAAATAGAGATGACTTCAAATAAAGTGATCAAGTGAGCATATTGATCAAGTATATGAGATATATTCACCTTAATTCGTTTAAGGCGATAAAGGACTGGTAGTTGATTTTTCCCACAAGCATATGAGTAGAGCTTAAGCGTAATAGAGCGAATAAATCTTATATAACTTATTTACTGATAGTCTCAAAACCTACTTATGAACGGAAAATATTGTGCAAGTGTTCGTCATAAAAATGTGCATGCCTTGACCTTAAATCAGACTAACAGTTCTGATGATACACGAGGCCAAAACTTATAGAATACCTGGAACTGTAGTGTACTAGTTGGAACAAGGCGGAGCAGATTCTGCCGCTCCTAATAACATACGTATTTACGTATTTAGTTTTAAATATATGGGAAAATTTGATCTTAGTTTCGACCAGGGCTTATTGCAATATTCTTAGCAGAGATACAGTGTAAAGCAGTATTCTGATTTACCTGAGACAGCAGTGACTACACCTCCGTATCTCCTTATCAAATACACCAAATCTCAGCCTGCGTGTCGATCGTTTGCGTATTAAATCGTTTTCGTATTAGCCCTCACAGGTTATCACTCTAAAAAAACAATCATTGTCCACTTCAGCTTCACGTTCTCGAGTCATTTTCAACGAAAGCTTTCAAAAGAGTCTTGTCGAGCTGTTTTCATTAAATATAGCAAAATGAATAGGTAATTATATTTGTGAGCCAAAAGTCTTCCCTTTAGGGATAGACTTCCATGAAAGCTAGAACAAATATAAGGATCCTTTAAATGAATTCTAGGTGAACGTCTATTTTTGTGTTTGACTAATTATCAGTTATATTGGGGAAGACTAAAGACTCATCTGGAAGTCATTGTCAGCAATTTTGCATTTTCTTCGTATTATTGCTAAATAGGTGCTACAGGATCTAAAAATCAGTCAGATAAGGCCACTAATCCACATAGGGGTCAGATAATCAAAATGCATTTGGGCTGTTGACAGCCTAAGACAAAAAACTATGCAAAAAAAATTTAGCTTTTTAGTCAGAAGCTTATGTACATCAGTTTTAAAAGTATTAATATATACTCAAATTCATGTTCAGGAACCGAATATAATTTAGAGAAAAACCCAAAATAAATCGAATATCTAAAAAAACAAAATGTCTAAAAAACTCAAGAATTTTTAAGTGAAGAAATATGGACTTACCCTTAACTCGATTGGCCGAGGCGGCTTGCATGCATACACCGTAGTTAAGCTGGGAAAGCAGGGTGTCGGCTACCTCGGCACAGTTTAATGCGTATGTAAATTCGCCTGAAGTATACTCAAGGACATAGCAGGCATAAGCTATATCTTCTAGGGCCAGCGAAGCCATTAGGCTGGCTCCAGGTAGACAATCCAAAATTAAGGCTAGGCCAAGCTAAAAGTAAATAAGGACGGCAAATTTTTCCACTGATCAGCGGGTCTGTATAAAGATAAAAATGAAATTTACTATAAGGTGCAACATTTAAGCTAATTATCCTGAGCATACCAAGTGTTGAAGCATTATGGGCCAAAGTAGCGAGCTACAAATTTGATTTGAAACGCAAAAGATTATGATTAACTTCGAATGTAAGATAAAATCTCAAACAGAATTGAAATGCATAGACTGACATCTCGATAAATTAGGATATATATAATTATTGACCGTCAAGAGGGTCTTAACTGTAATAGGATGATGATGATTTGAGTGTTTATTTTCTGCAGTCAATCAAGGAAAATTGAATTTAATGGAAATATTAATAGAATATAAGCATAAAAGCTAGGCATGATGGCAGTTGTGGATAAAGGAACTAAGCTCATCGGTACTAGGAAATGGAATAGAATCCAAAGGAACTAATCCGGAAGAAATGTAATAGAAAATTTAGTTAATATGCCCTTATATCCGCACTTATTTAGTGTGTAGGACGGCCATAATGGCATAGGAGTGTTAATAATTTTAAGCAGCAGAGCGTTGACTTGGTACATTCACAGATGTAGCCAGAAAAACAGAGTTACAACTGATCAAAGTGACTAGTAAAAACAAGCACTAGGATTATTTTTATGTTCAATAATTGCATGTCCTCCTACACCTCATTCTAGCTCTTGGCACTGTATCTTTATTCCATCACACCAATTTATACGACCAATTTACCCATGTCATTGTCTTCGCTTGTTCCAATGTCGCCAAAGAGAGTTAATTTGATAAAAAATAATAATCTTCACCACCGATTTCAGGCACCGTTTTTAGGGCCTATGGAACCCAATCAGCACTTCCAGTTAGCCATCCACTTACCCGAAAATGTCAACTAACCTATGGTGCATTCGGTAATCACTGTCTTACCGAACTGCTTGTCAAGAAGCCGTTTACGGCCTCCTTTGTCTGCTTATAGAACTATAATGTCACTTCATTTCAATATCCTACCTATCATCATTAGACGATTCCTATTGCCAAAATTTTCGGGGGTAATATCCATTTGCATCTTTCGTTTTGGTTATCGTAAGAATAAGACCTTTCAACTCTATGTAGCTAAAAGAGACTACGATCAAGCCTAAGGTCAAGTTAGCTTGGTTATACATTGAACCTAATTAAAACAAGTAGAACCACAACATTCGTAGGTTGGCACACAAGATACTAGAGCATAGGAAGTCATAGACTTGGTATTAGAGA